CTCTCAGCACTGCTTTCCTCATTTCTAAATTAAAAAGCAGTCATTTATGACTCCTGGTGTGGTGCTGTAGGATCAGTACTGGACTGCAAATCACAAAGTCAGAAGTTCAAACCCACCAGCTGCTCCTCCGAAACCCTATACAGGATCGCTCTGAGTCAGAGTCGACTCAACAGCACTTAACAACAGTTTATGACCATTCCCTTTAAACTTTAAAGTTATAAAATCAAGAAAAGAATATTAAGTTGTTTAATAAATGCATAATTATTTATGTGAAGGATTATCCTTTGGCCTTAAGAAAAATAGAAGCTATAATACTGCCCTTTATTCACCACTGTCTCCTAACCAAGCCCCGTAATATTGCCTAGTTCATACTAGGCTTATAGCTATATGTTGGGTGAATGGATGGACATTTGCATATTACATTTAGCTTGCAAATTGCTTTCAAAGCATCATATCTTCTTAATTGGATACTCTCATAAAAATCTATGAAGAAGCTATTAGTAACTCTACTTTGCAGATGAAGAAGCCTGGACTCTGAAGAGAAATGCAGTCATTTGCTTTCCTAGCAGTTGGGAGACTCAGCACATGGATTTATGTTGCTCAAGAATGCAAATTCAGGTCTAATACTCTTTTAATGAAAGATAATTATGACCCAAGGAAGAATTTAATGTGTTTTATGTTTCTACTGTGCAACATAAACTTAGCCTATGTGATCACAGTTAAACTCGGATCACGTAATGAGCCTCTGTTAGCTCCAGTACATAGGTAAAGACACACAAGCTGAAACTAGAAATTCAGCATAGTATCACAAGAGTCTGGGGGCTTCTTGGCTCTGTATGAGAAGCACTGGACTCTGAACTACAAGGTCGGCAGTTCTAACCCACCAGCTGTTCCCCAGGAGAACGATGAGGCTTTCTACTCTGGCAAAGATTTACAGCCTCTGAAACACTACACAGGGTCACTATGAGTCAGAGCTAACTCAATGGAACTTAAAAACAGCAATCACAAATTCACGAGATGTAGTTGAGATTTTTGTGACTACAAATTGTTCATCATGTTTAATACATCTTGGGATCTGTGGAAGGAACCTAAGGAAAAAATGAATATGTGTTCTTTCATCTAGTGAACAATGCCTCAGCAAACTCAAATGCTGAGGGGTGGAATGAGAGACTCTTCAAAGAAAACAAAACAAAACAAAAAAACATGAATACCAGAGTTTCGTAAGGGCTAGATACCCAGCTTGTAATCAAATTTGTTATAGGGATGTTTTTCTTTTCCGCTGGTTTTCTGCCCTTCTTAGTTATAAAGAAGCTGAAAAACCCAGTTGAATGGGGCATGGAGCAGTTAATATAACAACTTTAGTTAAGACATGGCTGTGGAAGACCCAGAGGAGGGTTGGTCTTCACCTTTAAATGAAGCTTGGTACACTTTGATTTTCACTGACTGTTACAGGACTGAGTTGAAAATCTAGGGGATTCTCTTTTTTGCCATAGGAAATATGACTTAATGATTCCAATTGGACCTGAAATTAACTAGGTAAAACTGTCTTATTCCAAAAGAAAATGAATTTTAAGTGAGGTTCTTTACAAGCCAGAGAAGCAACAGCGATTGCACTGAAAAACAGTGATTGCAGTCCTACAAAGCACAGATTGCTGCACTGAATCCTTTAAAACAATTCAATGTTGGGAGGAAAGTACATAATCCTAAATACTACCTTTATATTAACCCTTTTCAGTGTTTTCATCTCTAATATCACATTTGTTAAAACTCCAAGAGTCTCCAATAGTGAAGAATAAATTATAGTTCCTCAGCATCCCATTTAATGTATCTTTCGAACCAGCTAACTTTTCCTATCTTTTTATTCCAACTTTAAAAAAAATAATAAATGTTCCTATTGAGTCAGTTCTGATTCATAGTGACCCATGAGAATCAGAGCAGAACTGTGCCCCACAGGGTTTTCAATGACTGATTTTTTGGGGAAGTACATCACCAGGCTTTGGACCACCCAGGGAATCTTCTTTTCTGAATAGTGCCCTCCTATACAAGGAGTTCTGGTAGCATAGTGGTTATGAATCGGGCTGCTAACCTCAGGGTCAGCAGTTCGAAACTACCAGCTGTTCCATGGGAAAAAGATGAGGCTTTCTGCTCCTGTAAAGATTTACAGCCTCAGAAACCCTGTACAGGGTTGCTATGAGCTAAAATCGACTCCACGGCACATTATCACCATTACCACCGCCCCCCTATACATTGTCTTCTAGGTTACCCACGCCTCATACATTTTAACCTGGGCTCATTACCTCAGGCTCATCAAAGCCAAATTCAATTGAAATGATGAAATCTTGTCCTACCTAGATACATTTTAAATAAAGCACTACACGATGGCTTGGCACAGTGGCAGCAGCAATGGGCTCCAGCTTAACAATGATTGTGAGGATATCGCAAAACCCAGTAATATTTCATTCATTCTGTTGTGTGTAAGGTCGCTATAAGTCAGAATTGACTCGATGGCACCTAACAATATACATTGATCCACAAGTGACGATTCCTGAATGAGACAAACATCAGAAATTAGGTGGAGACTGCAATACAATACCATCTCCTTCTATGATAAAATTGGATTTCTACTTTTCAATTTTAAAAAGCAAACATATATTTGAATTTGTATGCCCTTCTCATATTAAGCATTATGGAGAAAAAGAAAATATATCCCTTTCCTCAATGAAGTTGCAGTACTTTATTTAATGAAGGATTTTGTAACCACCAAGTATACCTCCTGCAGTCCTGATTTGGCACTGCAGGAAAATGCGTTGGACTGCAAGGTTGGAGGTTCAAACTCAACAGCTGCTTCTCAGAAACCCTTTACAGGGGTGCTATGAGTCAGAACCAACTCAACAGCTCTTAACAACAACAATTATACCTCCAGAGTCCTGAGGTGCCATCATAGGATAAGGACTTGACCGAAAGGTTGGTTTGAACTGCAAAGTTGGCAGTTCAAACTCACCAGCTGCTCCTCAGAAACCCTATACAGGGCCTTTGAGTCAAAATCTACATTATGGCACTTAACAACAACAATTATACCTCCAGCATACAAGATTGAGCTCTAAAAAGACTAAGCGGCACAAGCCTGCAATATGACTTTGATTGGCCTGGGGCACTTTGTCTTTGTGGGTTCTTTATGGACAAATATACTAATGTTATAGTTAGATGCTGTCGAGTTGGTTCTGACCCATCCTGACCCTATGTGCAAGAGAAATAAACACTGTTCAGTCCTGCACAGCCATCCTCACAATTGTTACTACACTTAAGACTTTGCTGCTACTACTGTGTCAGCCCATCTCCTATGGGACTTTCCTTTTTCTCTCCTACCCTCCACTTGACCAAACATGATATCCTTCTCCAAGAACTGGTCCTTCCTGATAATATATCTGAAATATGAGAGACAAAATCTGGCTACCTTGACTTCGAAGAAACATTCTGGTTGTACTTCTTTCAAAACACATTTGTTTGTTCATCTGGCAGTCCATGGTACCTTTAATACTCTTCTCTAACACCATAAATCAAATACATCATTTCTTCTACAGTCTTTCTTATTCACTGTCCAACTTTCACATTCATATGAGGCTATTGAAAATATCATAGCTTGGATCAGGCACACCCTAGTCCTCAAAATGACATCTTTGCTCTTGAACACCTTAAAGAATTCTTGTGCAGTCGATTTGCCTAATGTAATATGTTGTCATAGACTTCATTTTGCTCCAATCAACCATCAACCATCAAGAAAGCAGTGGTCAAAAATCAAATGACGTATTGCATTAGGCAAATCTGTTGTACAAGACCTAATATATTAATGTTGTTGTTGCTGTTAAGTGCCATTGAGTCAGTTCCAGCTCATGGTCACCCCATATAGGGTTTCTGAGGAGTGGCTAGGAACCTTGAACCATTGACTCTGTGGTTCCTGTTGACCTTGTGGTCTAGTGCTTAGCCTACAGTGCTATATACCAGGACTCCATAAATATAATAATACTATACTAAAACTTAAACATCAACTTTTATTCTTACTTTTAAATAGACTGAAACATTTTCATGAGCTTCTAACTGTACTAGTCATTAAGACTACTATGTCTGGATACCTTAGCCCTGTATCTATGGGCCAAAAATTCAAATATATCTAAGTATATGTGAGGGAATATAAACGATGGATACCAGCTAAGAAAAACTTGCCAATTAACAACTATTTTTCACCTCCAGTTAGAAGCCCGGTGGTGTAACATGTTTAGTGTTGGACTGCAAACCACAAGGTCAGCAGTTCAAACCTACCAGCTGCTCCATGAGAGAAAGATGAGGTTGTATGTTCCTGTAAATATTTACAGGAAACCATTTAGAGCAGTTCTACTCTATCCTATGGGGTCACTGTGAGTCAGAATCGAGGTCATTTGCAATGAGTTTGGGTTTTTTATTCACCTCCAGTAGCAAGAAAACAAGGGAGAGAGGAGAGTTCTCTGGAGAATGGAGAGAGATGCTTCCAATACAATGAATGATCAGCTATAGCTGAACTCTATAACCGAAATGTGTCCAAGATTTTCAAATAGTCTAATCTATTTGAAGAGAAGCTGGAAATCAGATTTTTATATCATATCTCCTACTGTTAAGATGGTCTCTAATTCAGATTTAAAATACAGTGTAGGCACTTTTAAACTTAGCACATCTGCCTTCAAGATCCAGGTGGTGAGTCACTAGTTTGCAACATTAACGTGTTAAGCATCAGAATTAGTGGGTGCAGCAATAAACATGTTTGGGAGCCAACACGTTGTCTCTGAATCCTGGAAAAGTCAGGTTGGGGATTCCCAGTCTAAGTTTACAGCAAAAAACTTGCCAAAACACAGGACTTCAGTAATAAAGAAAGTGATGCTTAAAAAGAAGTTATTTGCACACGTTACTGTATTAACAAATTCCTATTCTATCATCCATAGAGTGCCTGTTGGAGAAAGAGTATATGTAACATGGAAAGGACCAACGATTCCACATTGACAGAATTTGTCCTGGTAGGGCTTTCTGCCCACCCCAAACTCCAGACAGTGTTCTTTGTGCTAGTTTTATGGATGTACCTGATGATCCTGCTGGGTAATGGAATCCTTATCTCAGTAATCATATATGATAATCACCTGCACACCCCCATGTATTTCTTCCTCTGTAATCTTTCCTTTCTGGACATTTGCTACACAAGTTCCTCTGTCCCACTAATTCTTGATAATTTTCTGACAGTAAGGAAAACTGTTTCCTTCTCAGGGTGTATGGTGCAAATGTCTCTCTCCTTTGCCATGGGAGCCACAGAGTGTGTGCTCCTAGGCATGATGGCACTTGATCGCTATGTGGCCATCTGCTACCCACTAAGATACCCTATCATCATGAGCAAGGGTACCTACGTGCCCATGGCAGCTGGATCCTGGCTCACTGGGCTTGCTGACTCCCTGGTGCAAACATCTCTCGCAATACAGTTACCATTCTGTGCTAATAATGTCATTAGTCATTTTGTCTGTGAAATCTTGGCTATCTTGAAACTTGCTTGTGCTGATATTTCAATCAATGTGATCAGCATGGCTGGATCAAATCTGATTGTTCTTGTTATTCCGTTGCTAGTAATCTCCATCTCTTATATTTTTATTATTGCCACCATTTTGAGGATCCCTTCAACTGAAGGAAAACGTAAGGCCTTTTCCACCTGCTCAGCTCATCTAACAGTGGTGGTTATATTTTACGGAACCATCTTCTTCATGTATGCAAAGCCCAAGTCTAAAAACTCTATTGGTACAGATAACCAAGACATCATTGATGCTCTCATCTCCCTCTTCTATGGAGTGATGGCTCCCATGCTCAACCCACTCATCTATAGTTTGAGAAACAAGGATGTAAAAGCTGCTGTAAAGACCATGATGAGTAGAAAACACTTCTCTAACGGAATATAAACACTAATTTACATGATGTGATTTGGTTTTAAAAACTGCTGAAGACACAAAATTTGAAAAAGATACAAAATTACTATGTGAAAACAAATTTACTATTTGTCATTGAAAACTGCATAATGCAAATATTTGGGCTGCTATTGTACTATTTGAGAAAGCAGTGGTCCCATGCAATAAGCACTGGATGAATTGGCACAGTGGTAGCAGCAATAGGCTTACATGTAGCAATGATTGTGAGGTTGGCACGAAACCAGGCAGTATTTCATTCTATGGTGCATAAAGTTGGAATTGACTAAAAAGCAGCTAACAACAACAGTGTTTTAAAAAATATGGTTGTTGTTGCTGTTGTTAGGTGCCATTGAATTAGTTCTGACTCAAAGCAACCCAGAGCACAACAGAATAAAATACTGCTTGGCCTCGAGCTCCTCACAAAAGGAGTGTAACAATTGTTGTTAAACTTGAGCCCATCGCCGTGCTGATTCATCTCATTGGAGGTATTTCTCTTTTTTAGCGGACGCTCCACTTATTCAACCACGATATCCTTATCCAGGACCTGGTCCCTCATACTTCGATAGCATGTTCAAAGTATGAGAGATGAAGTCTGGCCATCTTGACTTCTAAGGAGCATTCTAGTTGAACTTCTTCCAAAACACACTTTTTTGTTCTTCTGGAAGTCCATGGTATTTTTAATATTTTTCTTCAACACCGTAACTCAGTTGCATCAATTCTTCTATGGTCTTCCTTATACATTGTTCAACTTTCACATGCATATGAGACCATTGGAAATACCACGGCTTGTGTCAGGTGCACCTTAGTTCTCAAATTGACATCTTTGCTCTTGAACACTTTAAAGAGGGGTCTTGTGCAGCAGATTTGCCTGATACAAAACACCATTTGATTTCTTGACTGCTGCTTCTATGAGTGTCGATTGTGGATCCAAGTTAAATGAAGTCTTTTTAACAACTTCAATCTTTTCTCCATTTATCATGATGATATTTTTAAAATACTAAAATGGAAATGCAATATGTTACAAAACCAGCCGAAAAGAATCACTCTTGAAACTCTAAAAAAAAAATCAAGTCAGAAGGTGTTCCAAAAAGTCCTTTGTAACATATATTGGTTATATTAATAATTAATTATGCAAAATAAATAGTAACCAGCATATGACATTTTATTATTTCCTCTGTGCACCCACCTCACATACATAGTCCCTGAGGAAAGGAATTTGTTTGTTTATTATCCTATGACATCTCATTGAGTATCCCTAGTATAGTGATTGGCACATAACAGGTGCTCAACAAATATTTCTGAATGAATATACAAACTATATGATACAGGAAACCAGAAATATATATTTGCCATACCTGAGGTAACAAAGATTATTTAAAAAGAAAATTGATAAATGCAATACTTTTAAAATGAACAACATTGGGTGTGTTTTTTTGCCATGTGAACAGTCCTTAAATGCTAGTGTATTCGGTTTTATTTCCTATGTGGTTTACAGTATCATGTAGAGCAACAAGTTTTTTCAACAGTTACCAAAATTTTTCTGGGATTTGATAATAAGACCAAAATTCATGGAAGAGCTCCCTGGTAATTTACGAAGGTGAGTCAAAAATTATCTGCACTCTGACTGTAGAATTTAATCAACTTTTAGAAAAGATGAACAACATCATTCTTCAACATAATTTCCTTGTTTTACAATACAAGTTGTCCATCTGCCAATAAGCTTTCAGATTACCTTATTTTAAAATGTTTTAGGCTGAGCTGCAAGACACAAATGCCCCACTGTCTTCACTTCTCCATCAGAGGTGACTCTTTGTCCTTGAAGGGCTGATTTCAAGGGAACAAACAGGTGAAAGTCTGATGGAGCAAGATCAGGACTACAGGGAGGATACTTTAACACCTCAAAATGATGTTTTTGCAGAGAGTCAACAGTGTGGACATAGGTGTGTGGACGTGCATTGTTATGCAAGATCATAACACCCTTGGATAGCAGTCCTTTGTGTTTTATCTGAAGTTTATGCTTCAGCTCTTCAGTGAGCATCTCACTGGAATGAGCACTGTTGATTGTTGAACCTTTTTCTTAATCGTGTTCCAAAACTGGCCCTTGAGAATCCCAGAAAACTGTAAGCATCAATTTTCCAGCTGATGGTTGACTTTTGAATTTTTTCTTGGTCGACGATTGAGGATGTTTCCATTCCATACTCTGCCATTTCCTTTCATAGTGATAAATCCATGTCTCATCAGCAGCAGTGATATTTTTAAAATCCTTCCTTTGAGTATCAGTCCAAATTTTGTATGCACATGTTGAAACACTTTTGTTTATGCTCTTCATGAGTTGTTTTGGTACCCAGCTTGTAAAACTTTTTGAAACCCAAGTCTGTTGTGGATTATTTCATAGGCAGAGCCATGGCTGATTTGTAAATGAATTGCCACATAATCCACTGCCACTCATCTATTCAACAGAATCATTTCATGTACACGTTCAATGTTATCATCAGCCATGGACATGGATGGGTGTTTTAATATAATTTTTTACTCACCCTTGTATCTTAAATTTTAGCTTTAATAAAATGCATATGACAATATAAGAGAGTTCCTCTTGGCAGAATGGAAAGTCCGAGGGACTTTAAGAAGAGATCAGAATGAAAAGGACTTCTTTCCTACTCTGTATTGAATTACACAAGCTCCTAAGCAGTAGAAGAACTAGACAGAACTGGTAACTGATGAACATTGATGAGAAAAGCATGAGACATTGGAGAAAAAGTCACCTTGTTCAATGGACTAAGGAGCAACAGAGTGTTTGGGGACTGTAGATAAGACAGAGAAGGTTCTAGAGTAAGATTCGCTCTGTTGACAGAAAAGTACAGTCATATGTGGCAGCATCAAAGTGGAGAATGGAAGGTACTCTTATACTGGGGAAATTGAGTCCAATATGATCAGTAGAGGAAAGAAACCCTCTCCTTAACTTAACACTGTGAGGAGTCTATAAGAATTAAATACAGAATACAAATATAAGATAAAAAACTGTAGCTACTTTTAAGTTGTAGGAATAAAAACCTTAATGTTTTTCTTTCCTGTTAACAGGTAAGTATTATTACTTACTAACAATAAATGAGTCAGTTGTTGTTGTTAAGTGTCATTAAGTTGGTTCCAACCCATAGAGATCCTGTATAGGGTTTCTGACGAGCGACTAGTGAGCTTGAACTACTGATTTTGCAGTCCAGCACATTAACCCACAGCACAACACCAGGACTCCTAAAAATCTTACAGCACCCAATATTCCCAGGCAGTCTCCCATCCAAGTACTAACCAGGCCCAACCCTGTTTAGCTTCTGAGATCAGACGAGATCAGGTGCATTCCGGGTGGTATGGCCGTAGACAATTAATACATAGCACTTAATAATACCTGGATCATTCTAACTGCTCAATAAACATTGGCCATTGTATTCTTATTTGTCATGGTTATACTTTGATGTGTTATAAAAGCATTTAGTAGTTACGTAACAAGATTAAGTGAGTTAATTCATGCATAGCACTTACTAGTAATCAGAACATTCTAAATGCTCAGTAAACATTGGCCATTGCACTGTTATTTATGATGGTTATACTTTAATATGTAATAAAGCATTTAATTAGTATTGCAATTAATAGTATCGAGAACATTCTAAATGCTCAATCAACATTGGCCAATGTATTATTATTTGTGATGGTTATACTTTAATAAGTTACAAAGCATTTAATAAGCATAGCACTTAATGGTACCTGGAACATTCTAAATGTTCAATAAACATTAACTATTATATTATTATTTGTGATGGTTATACTTGAATGCTGTAAAGCAATTAGTAAGCATTTATTGAATAACTTTGACATCATTCAACTTTTGTTTCTCAGCTTCCAATTCACTTTTCTATGCTCTGATTTGTGAGTTAGACTTGGGACACTGAAACACATATTTATCCATTGTCAGTTAGCTTCTGATAGGCTTTGCCAAAATAAGAACTAGAGGGAGAATGGACGTTTGTATGACGATAGGGACAGGACTTTCCTATTTGTTTCCAGTTCCTGTCAGCAACATCCCAGCTATGGCTCTTTACCACGGCAGTGGCAGATTCTTAGCTTCTAGTGCTGGTTTTAGTTTGCTTTTTTTTTGTTTTTCTATATACCAAGACCAGTAGCTGACCAGTGTCATCTTTCCATAGGTTTGAGTCTGTCATGTAGGTTATAGTTCTGGTAAATTCACAATTTCATCAAATCTTTATTTTGAAATGTCTTTAAAAGCAATAAGATGTATCCAATTATCTACTTTAAAAATGTGGTGAATCATTAAGTGCCATCGAGAAAGTCCCAACTCATAGTGACCCTGCATAGAGTTTCTGAGGTGTGGCTGGTGGGTTTGATCCACCACCTTGCTTGCTGAAAGTGAAGAGGACTTAAAATAGTTGCTGATGAAGATCTTTCACTATGGGTTGTACCTCAATGTAAAGACAGCAAAAATCTTCATGGTAGGACCAATAAACAATATCCAAATAAATGAAGATATGATTGAAGTTGTCCAAAACTTTGTTTTGCTTGGGTCAACCATCAACACTCATAGATGCAGTATTCAAGAGATCAAATGATGTATGGCATTAGGCAAATATGTTGCACAAGAGCCCTTTAAAATGTTCAAGCACAAAATGTCAGTTTGGGGACTAAGGTGAGCCTTGTCCAAGTCATGGTATTTTCAATAATCTCATATGCATGTGAAAGTTGGACAGTGAATAAGGAAGACCGTAGAAGAATTGATGCATTTGAGCTATGGTGTTGTAGGAAAATATTGAAAGTGCCATGAGCTTCCAAAAGAACAAACAGATCTGTGTTGGAAGACCTATAGGTAGAATGCTCCTTGGAAACCAGGATGGTCAGACTTCATTTCTTATACTAAGGACATATTATCAGGAGGGACCAGTCCCTGGAGAAGGATATCATGTTTGATAAAGTGGACAGTTAGAGAA